TGATTTTGTACTTGACACTGTATCTCTTTATTTTTAGTATTGTTATATGATGTAATATTTTTTTAAATTCAGAAGTAGATTGCATGTTTAAATTTCATCATGTGTAGATTTGATGGATTGTTGACATTTTGAACTCAACTAATATACAACGAATCAATTTTAAATATATTTAGAAGATCATTCATCACTCTCATTATGTATGTATTGTCTGTGAAATTTTATAAAAACAATAAAATCATTCATGATTGTAAAATTTGTGTCTTTATTATTCGTCTTAACCTAGATAATATGTCACTTTAAGAGTTATCTAAAGTAATTGATAACTCTAGAATATCGAATATCATTTATGTTAGTGAATTTTGGTTTGGATGTAGCTTCAACCGAAATCTCTAAATAAGATGTCTAAACAAATGGAAGTTTTTAAAATGATCTTAACTTAATCCAATCCAAGAAATTCTTTTTCAACCTATGATTATTGAAGAACTTTAATTAATGAATGAATGGACGATGACTTACTAAAAGTACTCTCAGCATTACGGCGATACCACATTCTCTCCAACACTTAATCGTGACACTACTTGGTATTCAGTCCCTTCTATCCCCTTATTTTACACGATCATATGCTATTACCAACTTCGTGTGAAATAATTGTTTTTGCACCAGATTCTTGAGTAAATCAGTAATCGATTGTCAGATTCAATGGTTTGTGTGGTAAACAACTGTCACCCTAGTTCGCATGATTAGAAAATTACTTTAAATGCTTCATCTACTTATAAGTAGTTCAGTGGAGGTTAAACGATTTTTTCTCTATATAACATGTATTTAATTATCTTTTCATTTTGTTTTAGGAAGCATCTTTAATAGTTGTTCATTTAATCGGTGCAATGATGACTTTCGGATTGGGCATCATATTTTCAGCATTAGTCACCTATTCTACACGTAGACATTTGGAATACAATTTCAGGATATATGTATTCCGTCTAATTTTAACTATTTGTGGTTTTCTCGCGAATCTCGGAGGTGCGTACTATTTTAAAGTTTTACTATTAGATCGACCTTTATTTTCATTTATACTGTTTCATTGCTTCTCAGTTAAGTTTCACACAATGAATCGGGGTATATGCGTATACACATTTCCAACATAAACATTGATAGTTTTTACTTATATCTTTGCTTTACACTTATTTTTTCATTTAGCTTAAAATTATTTCAAAAAATTCTATTGACTATCGATAGTTGTGATCGATTTCTCCAATTTCCCTCAGATGATAAATTCAGTAAAGTTTTTTATTATCATCTGATGAGTACGCATCTGAATTGTTTCAAAAATCCACTAAATTTTTTTCTTTGCGTTTACGAGTATAAATCATTATCACTTTGCTTTTACAAATATTTGTGACAGTCTGACAAAACGAAAGTGTATATTTCTTAGGACAGGATTTTTCAGTATTTGACAGTTCTACTAGAGTTATTTATTTTATTTAGTCGTACGGTATCAAAGAAATGTTACTCTTTGCATCGTATAGATTATTCATTACAACTGTTAACTCAGAAGTAAGAAATTCCTAGGATCGACTTTCAGTCACCTTGTCGTTTCTTGTAACAAGCTATATTTATTTATGTCATCGTTTTCATTAATTTCAGTGTTCATTTTTGGGCATTTATCGGGGGGAATCCACGGTCCGTTCCCCAGAAAATGGGACCCGTCTGAAGCGGTAGGTTTATTTTGCTGCTTAAACAATTTAAATCCATTATATATATATATATATATATATATATATAATGTTTATTCGTTGGGATCTTCTTCATTGTAACACTATTGAATCAAATAATTCTTACCTACTTTACGTGTATTTGGATCTGCCTCTTTATTTTCCTTGTATGTGTATTTTGATTTATGACTGCAAATAGTTTCTTCAGCTATTGTGAATGATTTCAGTTGATCTCAGATGTAATAATTGTTTACACCTATTCTACACGAAATTACATATTATTCTGTTTATTATTCAATTATTTCCTTTTCTTACAAGTATATTGTAGATGTAATTATTATCAAGTTTTATTTGGTTTCTTTCTTCATAACTTGTGACCATCTAATGAAAAAATAACACTTAAGTAATTGATTGTGATCAATGGTAAATAAAAAAACTAATTGTTGTTATACAATACAGTGATTTATTCTGTATTGCTTAATTTATTGGTCCAATATTCAGTTATACCCCACACCTGTAAATAAACAGAAATAAATGACTCGTTTTTATATCTTTATGATTACATTAATTTAGACAATTTATTCATGTCGATTACAGCAAAGTTGTCGACTGTATAACTGAGATCCAAAATACTAAATTGTTAAATTACAATGATGTATCTGAAGTAATATTTAGTTTTACAGTCGCGATTCTATTTAAACAAATTATAAAGCATGTTTTTGTTAATTTTTAGTTTTGTATAGATAACTGTGTGTTTTTGAAGGACTCTTACTTACTGTTTTCCGCTTATTTTTAACGTATTGATCAAAAGTGTCTTCGTAATTTTCATTAATGCATGTCAAATAAGCATGCCTACAAACAAAAAATGGCATCTTTGTATTGTTTGCTAACATTTTATGAAGGTATGATTATGCAAGTGTAACCGGCTTGCTTGAATATCTCGGCTACCTGTTCGTGCCACTCAATATTTCAAGAAGTTATCTGGTTCCTTGTTTGTCTTAATAGATCATTATGTCAATTAGTTGCATAACCTATTCGGGTGCGTTTGTGGAAGGTTTATGAACATTCGCTGTACAAGTTAGAAAAACGTTTAATCGGAGACATCGTGATGACTGGCCATATGCATTGAAAAGAATGAATATTATTTAGATATGGACTTATGAAATGCTAGTATCTAACAGGGGATCACTCAATATCGATGGAGAAATAAAAAACAGAAACTAACTAAAATACTTTGCGTTGAAAATTCTATATTATACCAAAGATATAATAGAACAGAACTAATAATAGATAAATTATAAGATTGCCTATATGTGGAACTTCGCTTCAAAGTTGCTACACTTGGCAGTTGAAGAGATTTAGGGAGTCAATAAGGATGGCTTGCGCACAGTACTTTGCAGATCATAGGAGAAGCTAAAGAAGACAGTCTATGATCAATTTGGATTGCAGATGACACAACAAGATCCAAATGGATGACTGAAGACTAAGTATACATATTACAAAAACATTCTTTAATTAAAAAAATACAGTTCCTATCCTGCTATCTTTTTCTGGACGACCGTGTTATGATATAAACAGGACTATATTAATACATTACCCTATGTTATTTAGCTTTTGCAGTAATTTTAATGTTTCACTTTTTAGAGCAACATATATAAGTGAACAATATTTTTTCCGATTAGATCCTCATCAGGCTTTACTCTAATAAAGAGTAATATTTATATGCATATACGAAATTATTAAACCAATCAAGGTAGTTTATAAGTTAATTATAACAATGAAAAAGATGGCATAAGTGAAAATTCAGTATCTAGGAAAGTTCAATAAAATTGAAATCCACTTATATCTGATAAATGTTGTTTTCTTTTATATAGGGTTTTAAATATCATGCAATGAGTAGCTTTTGCGAATGGCTAATGTCCTTCACATTCCTACTGTTTTTCGCTTCTATGATATTTGAATTGAGGAACTATGAGTTGGAATCGGTTAAAGTAAGCTTTTACTATTGTCATTATTACCTATAATCGTAAAATTTACTTTATGGTATTGCGACTTACTTATTCTCCTAACTTCTTCAAAGTCGACAAATAAAACTCATTTTGTTCTAAAATAGTGTAGTGATTATTTGACAAACTGAAAGTCCATCATGATTTTTTAAGTTGTTCAGTATACCTAGTAAACCTAGGTTTCTTAACAATACTGTCATTTATGAGTGATAAAAATTTCATGTTCTAGAGAAATGAAAACTGAACCTGTTTATCATATTCTAGGAATAGCCATCATTACTATCATCGAGTTTTCAGTTCATATGCTTCCTCTTAAGTAATCCCAACCAATTGAATAAGAAAAATAAAAGTCATTTATCTTATTTAAGATTTAGTGGCCCTATATCTCACTCTGATTGGATCGTATGAATGATTATTATCGAAATGTACATGCTACTAATTCTCGTTTATTATCGACTTAACTCGTGTTAGTGAATAACGGGATTAAAATAAGTAAACCCCGAGAATGGATTTCGAATACGTATATTTCATACAATCGTTAGTCCAGACAGACGATCAGAGAAATGAAATGACACGCAGTGAAGGCGAGTGAACCAACTCGACTTAACCAGGCGTAAACCAATATTTATAGTGAACACACATGCGATCATAAAAAAGTCAGGATTAATAAGCGAGTTACTGACAGGGAGAATGAACAAACTGACCTGTCCAAAGGCTAAAATAACCTATGTGGGTTTAACATACTACAAAGATTCTACAGCATTTAACACCCATTGTTTATAATAATTTTGATTTACAATGCCTAGACCAGTGTGCTGGTTATACAATCACTACCATTATAGTTAGATGTAAACATAGACCCAGTTTTATTAATTTACACTTTTTTGCCAGTAATTTGTTTATAATTCATTATTAAGATCATTCTATCCAATGCTTACACTACACGGGTTAACTAGCAAAATATGTTTGGATTATGATTTTAAGTTATTGATTTTGTCACGGACTTATTAATATTGTGGATGATGATTCCTAAAAGGATGATTAACCTGTCTAATTAATTTACTTTTTTTATACTAGATAAGGCGTATAGTTATTGCGCATGAAAGCAATGAACAAACACCTCTCCTCGCCTAAGCCATCACTTTCTGTTCTTATGTAACTATAACTTAGTGAATAAGAACAAAATGCTTTGATCCATTTCATTAGAATTACAATTTTCACTTAACTTAATACACCATGTGAACTTTTTCTTTATGTTGATTTTGTAATTTTTTTCTATTTTCATCGAAAGAACACATTTAATTCAGAAAAATATTTAGCCTTCTGTATTTTGTTGGACAAGAAATAAAATAACACAACAGGCACTTTGAAAATTCCTCTTTCATTTTAGCGATGATTTAACTTATAGGTCAATTACATGTTTTAGTAGTCAGTCTTGAAGTTCACAGTTTGTATAGGTCAGTGAAACTACACAGCCATCCGAACCGAAAACTTCGACCTTTCCGTGGACCTGAAACCGAATGACTAAAAGATTTGTTACGACATTTACTTATTAAATCACACTCATGATTTGAGTTTATTTTCAAGTTTGGTGAATTCAGCTTCCATGCATCAATAAACGTACAGTACAGCGTTGATCCACCTTTTTTCGCATTTGCGTATCTATGTCATATCACGTTTGGAGTAAAGTCGTGTATTCGAACATGTACATAATTACTACATCACGATTAACATGTATAACAATGATATCGAGTATAACATTGAAATACACTACCCTTCATGAGTATTTATTTGGTAATTATTAGACGTTAACTTTGTTGATCTTTATTCAGTACAATTAAATAGCAATAGACCGAAATACATGAACTATTTTTAAAAAAAATATCGTCAAATTCACAAATAATAGCTTCACCTCACTTTTAAATGTATTCACAAGTACACAGTGTCATAGACTAGTCTACTAAGCGTATCATTTATTCCTGGATCAATCTTTATTCTAACTTTTGTACATCATCATGGTATCACTACAAAACAAGAACAAACTTGATAAAATTAATTTTTCTTTTACTTCTATCATGGAATTGTAGTGAGATAATTACAGTTTCTATGATGATTTCATGAATAAACAACCAAATCTGGAATAAATTAATTATTTCACAGTTAAAACAAAATGACAAGTATACATGATTTCTTTTAATTCGAAAAAGATGGATTAGTTAACTATGTAAATATAATTTCGTAAAAAGGTTGGTTATAAATTGTTTTCATTTAATTGAATAAATAAATCTTAAATATGAAAAAAACAGTGGACAGATAAGAGATGTGATTCGAAATTCATCCCCTGTTTAATAGTAGCTTAAATCTAGAAAAGCAAACAAACAATTGATTCTAGGAAAGTATATTTTCATTATTATTATTATTACCATAATTATCAACACTAATTATACTCCATCGATTAACAATCTATAAAAGATGAATAAGTAAACAAATTTCAGCACGACTGACATGTAAATTTATTACATATATACATACCACACAAGTGTTATTATAATAGTTAACTGATACAATCTTGTTAATTATAATTTATCCAACTTTATAACAGAATAACAGTGTGATAATCGAATTCAAATAATCTAAACAAAGTTTTATTTCGACGCTTTTCTTTTTTTGAAAAAACACTCACATATTTTTATAATACATTAAGTCGTTTTTTTGCTGTCACTTGTAGTTATTTCAAACAACAAGATACTGGTTAAAACTTATGAAAAAGTTAACTGAGTTCCAAGATGAAAAAAGTCCGCTCGTGTTAAAATGGATGTCCAATATACTTTGTTTAGACTCAATTAGGAAATTATCTTAAATGATTGTACTTTAAACTATAAATCCACCTGCAATAAGCTTGAGACTTGACACTTCATGGAAGCGGAGAGTTGAACTAATTTTTTTCTTTGAAATACTGAATACAATTTTACACATCCACTAGTGCAATTCAATATGCTGAAACAGTAAAAGACTGCGTAACTCTTTATTAATAAATTTTTGAGAGTCGAATAATTTGCCGCAATCTGTCCAATTGTTTGCTGTATCTATGGCTTAAATTTGCTTATACCTTTAAGTATATCCCATCCTACCAGTGCACTTATAGGAACATTAAGAGTATGATCGCTATGGACAGGATTCCACTCATTAAAACCTCCCTAACTGAAAATATATTACACCTACAGCGTCTCTGGTATACTAAAATAATTTAAATATCTAACTTGAACAGTGGATCACTAAACAACATGGCGCATGCATATCAATAGATCTCTTATGGCAATTATTGTTGTTGCTTCTTACTTGGCTTATTTTATTATCTCTGCTTATAAGATTATTATAATCATTCCGTTGCGGCACTGAAAATGACCTTGGATACACTTCACGCATCAACAGGATGTTAACTTACAAAAAAATAACGGTAGAAAACTGACACCTCGTGCTGATGTAATTCTTGTGGGAAATGTACTACCTAAACAATTTTTAGCCATAACAATTCAAATAATCGAAGATCATATATAGCTCCTTTACGTTTGACATTACTGCCCATATCAAACTGAGTGTGTCTATAAACTGGCAACAAATTCTGTAATCTTCAGAAAATTTATTCATTTTCCTCTAGACTTTTTGATGTCGGATTGCGCAAGATATGTGGTTTGATCTTGAAATTTTCATATTATTTTTTAAAAAGCATCATTGATACGATATTTTGAAAAGAAGCGAACTTTTACAACTTATTCTGCTTACATCCTGTCTGATTGATTGCTGTTGAGACATGTCACAGTTTGCATACAACACAATTGTAGATAGTCAATGAAAAATTAGCGTAACAAAACAAGCGGTTAAATATTTGCAAAAAACTTTAGTACCTTTTTTTCTTCAAAGTATGCTCTGATGATGTTTTTCCGAAGGACAGAGAAGATTATGGTCAGAGAATGTAATATTTTCAAACAATTTTCCTTCCCCTAAACTACGAACCTCAGGCCTAGACTCACGTGTCATTTTAGTGGAATTTATTCCATCTTATTCAGTGAAATTTGATGGGGTTCCATAAATCTAATTGACCCTATGAAATAAATTCCTACTAATTGTAATCGTTTGCATATGCAAAATATGTGGTTGGTACAGACTACACTCGCAATAAAGTCATAAAAAACTAGATGTATCATGTACGGGACATTGTATTTCGTCAGTGTATTCGTCTAACATAGCTGAGTTGGTCACATATTTCGATCCCATAAAAATATTTCTATGTTTGAGAGCAGTTTAAGACAAAATAAAACAGAAATATCATTGACAAGGATTATTCACGTTGTTTGCCCCATATAAAACAGCTCTATATTATTATGTATAGATTCAACTTCTAAAGATTTTAAAATACAACTTTTTCATTAGTGCTTCAGTAAAAAAAAACATTAATAATGTTATTAGGGACAATAATTGACGTACCTTTATATCATGTACTTTGTAATCTTTCAATTCCCATACCAGTGTAAAAATAAAACATATAAATGATAAAGCTGTAATCCATTCAGACATACTACTTATTACATGAAACGAATAACCCTATTAAGAATTTAAAAAATAAAATTGAATAGATTGATACCAAAGTTCATTGAAATGTTATTTTACCAAAAATAAAAGTAAGATTAAACTGAAATAACCTTATTAATCAAACAAAACATAGTTAAATTACATATTTTATAAACAATTATCGAATATTCATAATTTATAGCTAAATTAAATATTATTGTTTTGTACTTATAAATAAATATCATTATCGATAATGTTAATGAAAAATCTGACATTAAACTGTTACACTAAATAAACGTGACTAATTATCATAAACTTCCTAGATAGTGTGAAGCTAAAAATCATCATTAAACTGAATACATACTTCTTAGTTTTGAATGTTAAACACAATCATATCAAGTTATCGAATCAAAATCTAATGGTTAATATTTATAACTTTAGTGACTTCCAGCTTAATCGATTTGACAGAAACAAAATAACTATTCAAATAATCTTGAGTTCTAAATGATTTACCAACTAAATACTACATCAGGATTATACGAAAGTTTTAAAAACCACTGTAGTTTTCTGGTATCCCTTGATTTAAATACAAAAAACCAATGAAGCTAATGGTGGTTAACTTTCTTTGATGAAACAGGGAAGCGACACATCCTAATGATGTAATGCAAAAATGATTCAGTTTCAAATTACTGACTAACTATTGTACCATTTTTGGTTAGCGGTCAGAATGAAAAGTCTGATTAATAATATGCAATATAGCAATCATGAAGCACAGCTCTGTGTGTATATTTTACTCGTTGTAAGAGAGTGATAATAAGCCAGGCTGATTCGAACCAAAAAGAATGTGATAGTTTCTCAGAAATAATTGGCACAGAAAAAATTTAGTGTAATCTACGAATAAGGATACACTAAAATGAAGCTTTCTTTTATTACAGATAAAGTCAAATACGTACACTAGGTTTGTGAATGTATCATTCCAACTAATAAAACGTAGTTACAGAGACTTAAAAGTTTACATTAATTTTAGTGACTGAATAATGAATGTAGACCCTAGTGCAAATGATAAATCAATGGGATAATGACTGAGGAAAACATATAGACATCTCACTGTCAAAAGAAAGGTACTCAAGCTCCATAGAAAGCTATATGACTAATCTACACTAAATAAAACGTGTGATAAGAAAAACTAAACGGTTTCTCTCTGTATTTAATCAAATACATTGTGTCAGATCTAAAGACAGATCGAGAGTTATACAACCAACTTCATTTACCTAAAGATACAAATGAATACTACTTTAAGTTTTTTCTACTATAGTATCACAGAATAACTATGTTAATTAGAAATACGGAAAGAATGATGATATTTAATCTATGATTTTCTATGGATATTTCAATTAACAAGATTGATAAGTGGCACGGAATATAAATTTTTCGAGCATTGATAAACATGTTGATTAAAAGTTTCAACAAGGTCCAACCAGGACAAACTAATAAGTCAAGTTATTCATATATATTTGTAACAATTGTCCCTACTGTAGAAACTATTGATAATTATTGTTGAAGTATGAAAGCACACATCTTTTAAGAAAAACATAAATAGGCAAACAATATTATTTTCAGTTAGATTCTTACCAGTCTTAAATCTAACATACAATAATACTTAAATACATATATGAAATTATTAAATCAATTACGGCAGATAATTAAAAAAACACATGGTGTCATTGAATAAGAAAAAGAGAGTTCAGCGAATAAAATTTTCTTTTCGACGAAATCACTCACTTAAGCTATACATTCGGCAGTTTATGAGTTAGTAATAACATTGGAATAGATTACATGAATAAACAATAAGTAAGAATCAATTTATATTGGTTATCTAGAAATTCTCATTGATGTTTATCACTGCAATCGGCATATATGTATTCTGTACTGATTGCCGCAATATTGCCACTAAGTCACAAGCATTATAAGCAGAGTTGAATGATGGCTAGCAATTGGATTCATTACGCGTATTTCGTTTTACTGGGGACTTGTCGGCCGGATGTAAAAGTTACAAATTTATAGTTTGATGACAGGTATACTAGTTGTGATAAGAATAACGAAGGCTTGAATCAATGTTTTATGATAGGCAGTAAGCCAACATGGAAAATGAGATACGGAAATAACGTTTATTAAAAAGTATTAGAATCGCGTAAAAAATGTTTAAATATGTTTAAGTATGGGGAATGATAATAAGTAAAATCGTTTGCCAAGCCTCATTTGGCCAAAGAAGAGATACGAATTTTACAAATTGTTTGCGAATACAAGCATTCGAGTTATTAGGTCCAATCCGTATAGTTTCTGCTGTATGAAAAAGATGACATCAAATTTTATGAGAAAAGGAAGTAGATATACAATGAGTTACTCAAACTGACTTATTTCTATCTACTACATGATCGATATCCTCACACGCTTTCCAACCACGAAGGGAGGTGTCCACTAATTTGTCGGCTTGAGTGTAAACGCCTCCCTTGAGTAAGTTTAACGACAACAATAACAAATTTATATTTAGGCTCAGTAGTCGAGTATGCTAAGCGTTCGCGTGCGAGACTGAACGCACTGGGTTCGAATCCCGCGTGCGGGATCGTGCATGCGCACTGCTAAGCAGTCCCACAATAGGACGAAACGGCCGTCCAGTGCTTCCAGGTTTTGCCCCCAAATGCCCTGGTATGGTCGAGAGTTGGGAGAGTCCGCTCTTCCTCTCGGAATGCTCTCAAATGGACACGCGTATACAGTCTCTGCCAGGGACGTATATCAAGAGATTTATGTGGCGCATATATATTTGGTGCCTCCTTGTACCAATATCTATGTGTTAAAAAAATAAATAAATAAATAAATGTATTTAAGCATTAACCAAGTGATTCAGCTGACCATTGTTGCTACATGACGTGGTGGTCGGGCTTGCCTATCGTGATGAAGCAACTGAGCTACACTGGCTGGAACAACCATTCCTCAAGGCCCTACCATGCCAGACAGGTCGGTTGAAGAGCGGTAAGACTAAAAGCAACAAAATCAAGGTCCGAAGGCCAAGTCGTACTGCTGACTGTACAGAGGTGTGACGACGGTAAGGTGTTTCCTTCAGACAACCAGCATAACAGCGATGCTGCCTTTCCAAAAGGAGGGGTGGGGTTAGAAAAGGTCGACCCTAAAAATGCACACCTTGCCCTATCCCACGGATATCCGTCTCCGGCGGTAAGGTCTCAACAAGTACGGAGCTAAAACAAAAATTACTCATAAAAAGGTCATGTGTGACCGATCTCAAGCAGCTGTCCCTTGGGCACTGCGGCCACGCTCTCGGGTCAATAAGACCACCTCTAACCCAGTTTCCTTTCCAGGTACCTCCAGCAGAACCCTTCCACGGTGTGGGCAACCGGGAAGTGATAACCGCCCTCATACCTCTAACAGCACTCAAGACCACTGTATTCATAATCAACCTACCTCTTCAATTCCTATTACTCCTCCCCCTACATCGACTTTCAAATCTAAACGATTCTAGTGCGCAAAACACTGTCCCAGGTCTACTGAAACCCCGCTCCAAACTACATATCGGAGCCTTCAACGTACGCACACTATGTCAAATCGGTCAGCAGGCTTCCTTGGCTAAAACCTTAGAATCTCGTGCCATTGATGTATGTTGTGTCTCCGAAACACGCATACAGGATCCTAGCGTGGTCATTCACTTGACCTCACCTCGGCAAAACGGAGTGCCGACGAGATACACCCTCCGTGTATCTGGCGACCCGATGGCTAGTTCTCGTGGACTGGCAGGTGTAGGCATAGCACTAAGCATGAGGGTGGAACAAGCGCTATTAGAGTGGATCCCCGTTAATAGTCGTCTATGCGCTGTTCGGCTAGACGGCTCCGTAAGAACTCGAAAGGATAGGGACACACGTCGTTGCCTTTTCGTCGTTTCTGCCTACGCTCCCACTGACTGAAGTTCGGATGAAGTGAAAGATGAATTTTACAGAAAGCTGTCTGAACTTCTTCAGAAAGCTAAACGTTCAGACATAGTACTCGTAGCAGGCGACTTTAATGCCCAGGAAGGTAGATTAAACTAAACAGAAAGACATTTAGGTGGGTATTTTAGTATTCCGGCACAGCGAACAGATAATGGTGATCGTCTGCTGCAACTGTGCTCAGACAATTGTTTATTTCTGACAAACACTGGTTTTGAGTATAAGGAGGGAAATCGTCTAACATGGAGACCCTCTGCACCAAACCAACGATGGACTCAAATAGATCATATTGCCATCAGTCATCGTTGGAGAGGGTCGATAGAAGATTGTCACTTATAATGCAATACCTGCTTGAACCCCGATCATGCTCTAATGCGGGAACGCATCTGCTCGCGCCTCACTAGACGCAGAAAGGCCACCATAAGAAGACTCATTAGAATTGAATTCAGTGATGAGAAAACCAAAAGTAGGTCCCAGGAACAACTGAGGTCACACTTAGTTAGTTCTGAAAACGAGGCTGACCCAGATGTTGCTTGGAAAGTTATACAAGCAGCTGTGGAAACAGCAGTGACATCTACTAGTGATTTAAACCACAGGGTTAAAAAGAACCAATGGATTTCTTCAAGGTCTATTGCACTGATGGATTCTCGCAAACTCATCCCATCAGGCTCTGAACACGATAAAGAGCGTAAAGAAACCAGATCTAGGTTAAGCAAAAGTCTAAAGAACGATCGTGAGCAGTGGTGGGCAACGAAAGCAAAGGAACACAAAACAACTCTACAGACTAATAAAAGAAACTGGAATTAATAAACCAAGTGTAAGTCAGACTATTTCAGAAAAAAACGACACTCATCTGCTCCCAGTCCAGACGTTTAGAACGATGGGCGGAACACTTTAAGGAGCAGTTTAGCTGGCCTTCAGCTACTCTACAACTACCCTATATTCCCAGACAGTATGAATGGAACATTGAAGTAGGTCCCCCAACGCTAGCTGAAGTTCAAAAGGCTATAGCTAATCTGAAACGAGGAAGGGTAGCTG